CTGAGGTGCTCCTCATATCATCCTCACTCCCAGCCCAGTCACTGTCACAATACCCAATTAGAGTAGCTGTTTTCCCCTTTGCAAATTCAATTCCAAAATCTAATGTGCCTTGTATGTATCTCAGCACCCTTTTAGCAGTTCCCATGTGTTTCTTTGAGGGATTGTGCATAAACCTAGCAAGCAAGCTAGATGCAAACATGACATCTGGTCTTGTGGCAGTCAGATAAAGCAGACTCCCTACAATCTGTCTGAATTCATTTTCATCTGCTGCTTCACTTCCATCTTCTCTACACAATTTCTCATTCACCACTAATGGAATTGCCACTGACTTGCAGTCTCTCATTCCAAACTTCTCAAGAATTTTCATGGCATATTTCTTTTGATGAATGAAAATATGCTTATTTCCACTCCCATGCCAAGAGCAACATACCCAAGTCTGTCATCTCATAGTGTTGCATCATATCTTGTTTAAACTCTTCAAGCATTTTAGGACAGCTTCCAGTATATATAATGTCATCTACATAGAGTGAGACAATGATAATACCTGAGGTGTCACTTGTTTTGATATAGAGAGTAGCTTCACTTAAGCTCTTCTTAAAACCTGCAGTGTTGAAATAGGCATCTATTTCATCATACCAGGCCCTTGGGGCTTGTTTCAGTCCATATAGAGCCTTGTTCAACCTGTACACCTTGGTTTCCTTGCTCTCTTGTACATATCCTTGAGGTTGTTCAACATAAACTTCCTCCTTTAGAATGCCATTGAGAAAGGCAGACTTCATATCCAGTTGAAATAGGTTCCATTCCTTTTGTGCTGTAAGGGCTATCAAGGTTCTGATGGTGTCAAGTCTTGCCACAGGGGCAAATGTCTCATTATAGTCGATTCCAGGCTTCTGTGAATAGCCTTTAGCCACAAGCCTAGCTTTATTCTTCTGCACAGTACCATCTAGGTTCAGTTTGACCTTGTAGACCCACTTAACACCAATTACTGGTTTGTCAAATGGCCTGTCAACTAATTTCCATGTATTGTTCTTCTTAATCATCTCGAATTCAGCCTCCATTGCACTTCTCCATGATTCATCCAAATCTGCTTCTTCAAAGCTGTCAGGTTCTACAATGCACATGTTGCATTGTGTCATGATGTCATTAATACTCCTCCACTTGTGAGGTGTGTGATCAACCCTTTGAGTCTCATCAAGCATTTCTTCCCCTTGAGGTGCAATTTCTTCTTCCATCTGCATTTGAGTATCCAAAAACTGAGATTGTTCATCTAATACCCTCTGTTCAATTTCTGCAGTACCTTGATTTCCATCTGGCATAGGCATTCTCACATCTGCATTGCTAGGATTCTCCCATGTCCATGAGGCTTCTTCATCAAAATAGACATCCCTAGACAAGATAATCTTTCTAGCCTTAGGATCATACAGTCTATAGCCTTTTTCACACAATCCATAGCCCACAAAAATGCATTTGTGACTGTTTTCTTCCAACTTGTGTCTCAAAACAGAAGGAATAAGCACATGACATAGGCATCCAAACACTTTCAAGTGTGCAATACCTGGCTTTCTTCCTGTGAAGGCCTCAAATGGTGTCATTTTCTTAAGAGACTTAGAAGGACACCTGTTGAGAAGATAGACTGCTGTATGAACAGCTTCTGCCCAAAACTCATATGGAAGTCTCTTTTCATGTAGCATAGACTTTGCCATCTCAATTACAGTCCTGTTCTTCCTCTCAACAACTCCATTTTGTTGAGGGGAATATGCTACAGTCAGCTGCCTTTGTATTCCAGCCTCACTGCAGTATGCAAGAAATTCATTTGACATGAATTCTCCACCTCTGTCACTTCTAAGTGATTTCACCTTGTGTCCACTCTGCAATTCTGTCATGGCTTTGAACTTCTTGAAACATTCAAAAGCATTAGATTTATTTCTGAGAAAATAAACCCAAGCCATTCTTGTATAGTCATCAATGAATAACATGAAATATCTGTTTTCTGACATTGATGCAATCTGCATAGGACCACAGATGTCAGTGTGGACTAATTCAAGTGGAAAATGAGCTCTCCAAGTAGATTCTGCAGGAAATGAGTCTCTATGCTGCTTTCCCAGCTTGCAGCCTTCACAAACTGCAAAATCCTTCTCCAGACTAGGCAGTCCATGAACCATGTCTTGATTTGCCAGCATCCTGATGCTTTGATCATTAAGATGGCCCAGCCTTTTATGCCAAGTCTGCAAACTGTGAGTCACACTTGCTCTCAGCACCAACTGAGTAGCAGGTACCATTGTGAGAGAGAAACACCTATTGATAGTCATTGGAACCTTAGCTATAGGATTTTGCAGTGACCAATCATCAAAAATTGTCACCATTCCCTTTCCAAATACTAAACAATACCCATGTTCCATCATCTGACCAACACTGAGCAAGTTCTCTTCTAAACCAGGCACCAACATCACTTCTTGAATGTGTTTTCTGCCTGTCTTGGTTTCTATCACAAGTGTGCCTTTTCCTGCAACTTGAACTGTCTCTCCAGTCCCCATTTTCACCTTGGAAGTTACATCCCTTCGAATATCTATCAATAGCCTTTCATCTCCAGTCATGTGGTTACTGCAACCACTGTCCACATACCAAGAATTGTTCAATTTCACATCTGTCACGGCATTGCATGCATAAAACAATGTTCCAGTTACTTCAGCCTGATTGGCATAATTCACCTTCTGCACAGGTTGATTTTCATGGCAATTTCTAACCATGTGACCAAACTTTCCACATCCTCTGCATTTTGGTTTTCCTTCAAACCAGCACTTGCCATAGTGCAGTTTTGGATTTCCAATTTTTCTGAGATATTTGATCTGCAGAAGCAATTCCATTTTCAAGGTTTTTTCTACCAACATTCAGACTAGGGTCAAGGTTTGTTTTACCAACATTCAGACTAGTGAAGGCCTTTTTTGTAGAATTCTCAGTGTGTCTATCCAATCTGAGCTCAAAGCTCTTCAGTGAAGCAACAACCTCTTGAACCTCAAGTGTTTCAAGGTCCTTAGAGTGTTCAATTACAGAGCAGATAGAATCATAAGATTTAGGTAAACTAAACAATAGTTTCTGGACAATTCTCTCTCTAGATAGTTCCTCACCATAACTCTTCATATGATTTACTATATCAAACAACCTAACCAGATATACAGATAAAGATTCACTATCCTTCATGCGGGTATATTCAAATTCCCTACGT